GTTTGCGAATTTCTCACGTGCAAATAATTCACACGTTTGTTATTTTCATTATTTATTCCTGCTAAAAGAAGTTAATTAGCTCTGATGCGAGCGGCATTCGTGTCTCTTGAATATACGTTGTATCCCACTAGGTTATTAGAGCGCAAACATGGTGCATTAATTCTTTTTTCGTACCTTGCGTTGGCAATTATTTATTTTAGTTCTGCACCTGCAGATTTGAAATGTTTTGACTCACCCTGTATATGTGTACAGATTGTACACCCATATTGTGCTTCAAACACATGTACTTGCACAGCGTAATATCTATATTAATAAGCCACATCTTTACTGTGCCATGTGTGTGTGTGCAATGTGGCTCAGAGATGGGATAAACGGAGCCAGTACCGCTGATAACCCTGGGTTTGAATCCAGGTATCAGCCCGTCTGTTAAAATGAAGCAAATTGTTCGGTGCTGCTGCATTGGCAGTGGTGCACAGGCACAAATAAAAAAAACCCAGCATGTTTTCCACTAAGGCTAGCAAATGTGAAGCCTCTTCTCCTTAGTGCTGGTAAGAAGGGCCATTGCTAAAAACGTCACTTTATTATTATATTATTATTGTTGTTATAGAAAAATAATGTTGAAGGTCACGGTGTTATTGACGAACGCAAGTCGTTCCGTTAGTTGCGTTGGACGGGAAAATTATTTTTTCACGGAGCACGTGCGATATGCGTGCACTCAAATTTGGCAGGGCTTTCTCGGTCATCCTTGTATTTGTGTGCCTCGGTTATGGAGATCATCGCCGATGGGTTTAAAGAAGAAAATTAATGGGGGAGGGAAAAAAATGCTTGTATCGTTTCTCTAATCATCATGGCCCATTTGAAGGTCCAGAGAGTTGCAGGATGAAAGCTGTATTAATTGACCTTCTAGCTAATCTGTTATTTTTGCTGCTTCTAAGCTCGTTATTTTCAGCGGCAGAAGTAAGATTATAGTTGGCCTTTTGTTGCATATTTAATAATTTAACTGGTGTACTGTAACCTTAATAACTGAATAAATAGATGTTCTGGGACATTAATACATATGTATGGACACAATTTGAAATATAATGACACTAAATAATTCTTAGCATTTACCTATTGTCAGACAAGCCGATAAAATCCGCATTTCTCTAATGTCCTTTGTTGCCCGACGGTAATGGAATATAGACTTAACGGTTTAGTTTAAAATAAAGCCTGCAAATAGATGCAGAAACAAGCAGTTTAATTAATGTTCAGTGCTTAAATATTTATTTAAAGCAATCATATCTGTTAAGTGAAAATGTTATTTTAATCGCTAACTCAATCAGCTTAATAATCGGCTGCATAGGCTTCGGGGTAGCGATGACCTTTGTGTAATAATGCAAATACAAAGCTCATTAAAAGCCATATTTTTACATAAACACGCTGATAATTCCAATGTGGGCACAGCAATTCAAGCACTGATGCCAAATATACTACCGTATTCCCCAGATTATGATACACTTTACCCCCCACCCCCATGTGTCTTTTTAAACCAAAAGTTTTGGGTGTGTATTAAAATCAGGTAGGTGTGTGTGTGTGTTATTGTCGATGTGGGGAGCGTTAATGTAGCAGTTAGCATGCAGCACTATGAACCTGGAGGTTCGATTCCCGTTCACGGCCAGCACCGGTGACGATTATCTAAACCCGGTCCTAGGCCTCCCCTAGGTCGACTCAGCCTCAAATGAGTACCTGGTGCGATGTGTAAATATCGCCACAGGAGAGACAAAGGCGGCCGGGCGTGGTGTTGGCCACCCACCCCCTCGTGTGCCGTGCCAGCCTTCATAGGTGCTCGCTAACAGCATTTGCCCCAACAGCGTGTAGCCTATACTGGGGGATATTGGTCTTTGTGGCCAGAGCACCGGCCTTCATAGGTTCTACTCGTTAACGGCACTTGCCCTGGAAATGTGATCAGGCTATACGGGGGATCTTTGTCTCTGCTGCCATGTTTGTGGGGAACGGTAGTGTAACCGGTAAGCGCACCGCTCTATGAACCCGGCGACCCAGAGTTTGATTCCCGCTCACGGCCAACATCAGTAATGGATATCTGAACCGGTCCTGGGCCTCCCCGAGGTCGTGCCACGTGCGATGTGTAAATATCGCTACTCGACAGACAAAAGGTGGTAAGCTTGTGGTGCTGACAACCCACTCCCCCCCCCCCCCCACCTTGTGTGCCAGATCGGCCTTCACAGGTGCCAAAAGTCAGATTAGGCTATGTGGGGCATCTGCGTCTTTGTGATCAGATTTGTAGACATTTATCAACCCTGGGCAAGGTTTTGCATAATTTCAGCCGGAACAGTGCGGACCGCTGCTCTGGGATTTATTTGGGCACGCCACATCCGTCTTTGCCTCATGTAGTCCATCCGATGTTTTTGTTCTTCAATAAACCTGTTCATATGATGAATGCAATATGGGGGTACAATAATAATGATAATGGATTGTTGTGGATAGGGGGTTACCTTGTACTCGAGCGGAAGTGGCTTATGCCAATAATCCCTCGCGAGACGGTTCTTTAGCGTTCATGCAAAATAACTGGCGTGTTGTTTTTTTTGTAGTTGTTGTATTGCTATGACTACTGCTACCATCGCTGTCGCAGCAAGCCTCCTCTTAGCCCTCAGGCACGACACAAGGTGTCTTGGTTGGTGTTGAGGGGAGCAGGCGGTGGGGCGGGTGAGCCGTGTGCGAGGCGAGGTTTGTCACTTTCGGGGTAAAGCTTCCCAACTCATAATTGAGGCTTTTTGGGTTAGATCGCGTTAATATATAATAGTGTCGTTAATTCCCGCCACCGGCGTGCTGTACTAGTGACGAATTGGCCACGTTCTGTTGACGTGACAACCCTTACTAGTTTGCTGTGTTGGGTGGTGGCGGGTTTAACGACACATTTATACATTTACGCGATCTCACCCGAAAAACTTCTATTGTGGATGACATCGGTCGCGAAAGCCTACGTGTTAAGCTTCCCAACTCGTTTATTTGACCCTCTGACGTTGCCGTCGAGACTCGCAGGAAGTGTGTACACATTTGGTTTTTTTTTGCCGGTTTCATAACAACAGCGCAATGATAAAGGGCTCCATTTATACCTTAAAATGAACGCTTCTCCTGGGAGCATGGCCTGATGTGATGTCTAACAGCTGAACAGCAATTAGACTTTTGCGACGCTGGCAGTGTTGGACGGAATGCGATTACCGACTAATAACGAAGGCTAATAAACTGATTAATGGCCATTGCATACACTCGGTTTCATACAAAGATTTAACGATTCACCCAGTAAAATTGGTGCTGACCCTCGCAACACATGCAGTGAATTGTCCGTCTAAGAATCAATTTTTTCTCATTCGTTTTTTTTAAGAGCCACTACTGTAGATTCCAGCACCTAAGATTAGCACGGTTGGCTACGTACGGTGCGAAGGAAATTCAACATTCATACATTGCAGATCTGTAATGCATGAATGATGAATCCTCACCGTTTGGGGTCATGATTCAATGCAAGCCAAGCTGGGACAACTCGTCAATCAGTCGAATACAAATGCCATCGACTTAAAATGTAATCGACTAAGTTGCTGCGTGGTCGATTGATCCGTTCATGCCCGTTTAAAATTGGCGGTCGGAACGAGCCTAGTGATGACATCACTAGGCTCTGCCCATCACCTCCCATCCAGCGGCACACGTGGGAACAGAGGTGAGACTTTTTTCAGTTCTTTTCATGTCTTTTGATTAGTCGAGTAATGTAACATTATATGGAGAGTAAGAAATTATGTAAATAATCGGTTAGTCCAGCTCTATATTCCAGAATATTAACTTTTTGAAGAATGGTAAGTGATCGAAGTCACAACTCATGGCTAAAGAGGATAAAGCGACTCCAATGTACACAATGCAATGATAAAAATGCAATTTGTAACGCATGCAATAATTTGCAGGCACAAATGACCATGACCCTGAGGCGCAAAGCCAAACTCAGTGTCGCTGGAGAGCCAGGCGAGAGAGGAGGTGGGGGCCTTGAAGTGTCTCTTAGAAGTCGGTGTAAATTGAATGCTGCTGCGAATGTGCAGCAGCGGTCTTCCATGTAGAGAGGAAGAGGAGGTTGTAAGTCACTCTTCGGAGAGTTTTCCTGTGAGCTGTAGCGCAGTGTGATAGCAGCGGAGAGAGGTGTGGTGGATGACTGAAAGAAGAGGCGCAGTGGCACAAGCAGCAGTCGATCTTGTAGCCGGCCCTGCTGGTGATGCTGGGAAGCCAGTGGAGGAGGGAGTGGACGCAGGAGATCTTGTAGCTGGGCCTGCTGGTGATGGTGGTTAGCCAGTGGAGGAGGGAGTGGAGGCAGGAGATCTTGTAGCTGGCCCTGCTGGTGATGGTGGGAAGCCAGTGGAGGAGGGAGTGGAGGCAGGAAATGTTGTAGCTGGCCCTGCTGGTGATGGTGGTTAGCTAGTGGAGGAGAGAGTGGAGGCAGGAGATGTTGTAGCTGGCCCTGCTGGTGATGGTGGGAAGCCAGTGGAGGGGAGAGTGGAGGCAGGAGATGTTGTAGCTGGCCCTGCTGGTGATGGTGGTTAGCTAGTGGAGGAAGGAGTGGAGGCAGGAGACCTTGTAGATGGCCCTGCTGGTGATGGTGGGAAGCCAGTGGAGGAGGGAGTGGAAGGAGAAAAGGGGAGGGTGACTTGAGCGAGATGGTTCGGCAACTGTTGGAGTTTCTTTTGAGATTACTCGATTTAGATCGAACAAGGATGGAGTTGCAATAATTGAGACGAGACCCGACTACGCTGCACGCAAGGGGGTTGGTGATTTTGGTGGTGATGAGTTGACGTCAATGACGGGAGGGCTCACAGGTGTTAAGTTGCAAGATCAGACGATGTCGTTGGTGTAAATTGTCAAAAAGAACGGTGGAGTCGAGAGTGACGGTGGTGGTCATATTTACCAGCTCGTTGTCTATCTACTGCCGCCCTCCCCACCCCCACCGCTGTACCCTTTCCTTTCAGGGAGAACAACTTCATGAAGGATTTCCCGCAACTTGCCGACGGACTGGAGGTGATGCCTTTGCCGCCCGACCAGCAGTGCCAGGCTCACCTGTCTGACCCCAGCCCTGCCCTGCAACAGCTTAATGGTAATGCCATTACGCGTGCTAAATTGACTCACCACCTCTTAATTATATAGTCATTGTAATGAATACGGTGGCCTAGCGTGGTTGGTATGGGGTCCTGGTGCAAGGAATGAAATGGGGGCAGCCCCTGTGCTGATCATTGCATCCCACCCCCTGTGTTGCCCCGTGCCTTGCCCCCCCCTCCCCCCGCCCGCCATATGGAGCCCAGTGCGTTGCACTGCCCGCACACTCGATAGCTACTCAATAGTTAAGACCGAACGTCATCAGTCGCTTTATCAGTTGTATGCCTTTAGCCATGAATGACTAGAGCAGAGGTTTCTTCTCTTGCCGTGGCACACAAGTAAAGTAGACATGCAGTAATTAGGGCAGTTACATTTATTTTGGTCAAATTATATTTGAGCCCGAGGAATGCATCGTGGGGCGCATTCTGATTAGCCCTCGTAAGAACAAAATGTGCCAGCAACGTTTTATAATGTAACCTTCAACATTAAGTTTTGTTTTATAGTTTTGTCTGTTACCCAATAGCTACTATTAGGTAACTGTTCATGTGCCAATAAATAAAAACTGTCAATCAGAAAAAAAAATTACGAAAAAATTATCTTGCCCCATGGTGTAAAGTAGCGTATCCAACCATTATCATTCACCGTGTCTCTCCGGCCTCTCTATATTTGTATGTGCTACGGATAAGGGCCCTTGTCTCAGACATCCTCTATTGTGCATTTGTCCTTTGAAGGCCACATTGTTTGTGACGAATGGGTCGAGTTTTTTCGGTTAAAGTATAAGTTAGAGCGACGGGGTGAGAAAAGGAGAAATAAAAATAAAAAAATAAACGCAAAGGCGGTGACAACTCGCATCAGAGAGTTTGAAACAATCGCTCAGCTCAACAACTCAAATATAAAATCATGCTGGTTAAACACCTCCCCAACACCGGGGCCCGACTGCTCGTGTCAGAGCAATGAGTCAATTGGAAATGAGTTCTTCTTCCGCGCGTTAATACCGGCAAGAGTGAGCGATTGGTGGCCAGAGAGCACTCAACGCTCAATAAGAACAGCATGGCCCGGGAGGCTGTTTAGAAGCTATAACTATTGGTCGAACACAATACCGCCAGATTGAATGCGAGGAACACCCACTCACAGTACACAACATTAAGCTTCCCATATCAATATCTCAATATCACCTTTCTGCTTTCCCATAAGTCTCCTTGTCAATTCAAGGTTCCATAAATTAACCCTCCCCTTCACCTCCCCCCTTACCCCCACCTCACCCCCTTCCGATTGAAATCAGTTCAGCAGCCAAGTAAGTATAAATCAAGTGGCAGGAAAAATCAGACATTAAAGGGATAGTAAATTATATAATTGCTTTAATATTAACATTGCCTCTCTGACTAATAGGGTTGGAATAAATTGGGGTATCTAATAGACAATTCTCATTATTATCCACCAAAAGTCTCCCGCTGAATAATAGGCATTAATGTCTGTTACTAATGATACTGCATGGCCATTCATTAACCCAGGAAATCCAGACCAAGTCTCAGTACTCTTTCATGAGCGTCCTGCATTGGGTTGTTTGGCCATTTTTGTTAAATTTATTCATGGTTTTGCTTCACGTGGGAAAAAGCCACAGTGCCTGAAGAAAACCCACCATGCATGTTATAGGAGACACTGAACCCTGAACTCCTGAGCACATTGCAGCTGTATGCCCAAAACAGCTAGCAAACCCTGGTGGCCACCACCCATCCAAATACTAACCCAGGTTAAAAGTTGCTTTGCTTCTGAGGTCTGACGAGATGTGATACACATAAGGTGGCACCTGGCTTGGTATTTACATGTGTCATTTGGACGAGAGTTTGGACCTGGTATGCCCCTGGATGGCTGGCACGTTGCCCCACTCGTAAATATCCCCTTCACATCAGAATGTTGACATTACATATTTTTCCCCCGATTTTATTCCAGTTGTGCTATCGATGTCAAATCACGAGTAGAAGAAAAATCCATTCGGCTCTCCCACAGGGCAGTGCATTCTTTCGTGTTAGAGAGCCGCCCATGGAAGTGGACACCACAGAGCTACCTTTGAGATTGCTTAAAGTGACCACTCGTCCACACGGTAGAGGTCGGCACTTTCCCACCCACCCTGGATGTGAGAGCAATGTTTGTTGTATGGTGGTCGGAATGATATTTTAATTCTGAGATCTGAAATTTAATGTGATGATTGGGGTTTTTTTATGCAGTCGATTGTGTTTGCGATGACATTTAGGTTTTTTTATGGTTCGATCTTATAAATATAATGTGTTGTTAAACCAGCCACGACCTGACACAGCCAATTAGTAAGGTTTTTAACGTACACAAAATGTGCCAATTTGTTACTAGTTCAGCATACCGGTGTGTTGGAGAGTAAAGCCACAACATTTACAATTCGATTACCGTGACGTTTCACCGGTAATTACAACCAGCATCATCAGGCGACAGACAGAGTTGTCGTCATACTCAAAATGTAAATGTTGTTATGGGTTTACTCTCCAAACGCACCGTTATGCTGAACTAGTAACGAATTGGCACGTTTTGTTTTACGAATTGGCTGTGTCGGGTGGTGGCAGGTTTAACGACGCGTTTATATTTACGAGATCTAACCCAACAAAACGTCCATGGTGGATCACTGCACTTGAGAATGCGGTTTAATTACAGGGGCCTTGCCTGGATTCGAGCGCAGGATCTCAGCTTTGCCAGCTCTCTGTGCCCTCAACCTCTAAGTCACCCAGTCACCTCGAGGCAACTGACAGGGGGGCACCAAGAACGATACTGCAATCTTGCAGCACCTCTGACCAGCTTTTTGTAGGTCAGACTAAAAAAAAGTCAGTACCGTACTCATCGATTCCTGCGTGTTTCAGTTTGTTGAACCATGCTTTCAGCAATAGGTCTTAAAAAATGTTTTTTTTTATAGTAACAAAGAGTGCCAGATTTTTATTGATATAGAAGTGTGAACTTTTTATTGACACTGAATGTTTTCCGGCCATGAACAAAGTACGGTTAAATGAACAAAGTTCTTAAGTGGCAGTGTACAACCCCAGGGCTTAACTCCTCGCACACTACAATTACGCACGTCCAAGACAAAAGCTTCACTCCTTGCACTCTATTATGATGCATGACCAAAGCTCTTTGTCGGGCAAGGGTCACTGCGTAGAAATTATCTCATGCGTCGACCCTCCTCTGGGGTGGGGGATGTCTCCGTGCCAAACACGAGCAAGACTTCGGCGCTTGCTCACCCCCACTGCTGGCGGAAGGACCCCACAAGAGGGAGCTCTAAACACAGAGGCCCTCTAAATGACATTTGACCGTCTCCTTCCACACTCACTAAGATGTCTTGGAAATGGTGGGGATATCCACGCTTTATCCTACCACGCGCGGCCTGCCGATCAACTTACTGTGGTGAACCCATTTAGACTGCTGGGTGGACAGAGGTGGATTTTATGAACCTTGCCCATTGTCTCAACTGCCGTGTCAGAAGATTGCAAATTCAGTGTTCCAATCATTGCACCACAGCATTGTCCACACACTGAAATTGAGCTCTTAATAGCACAAAAGTTGATCTTTCCTACAGATTTTATATTCTTCATTCTTGTCATGGTTACGCAATTACGTTGCAGATGGACATTGTCATGTTGACTGTTAGGCTGCACTCTCCTCCACAATACATTTTCATTGAAATTCCCGACCACATGAAGTGTGCACTAACATTAGCCTTTTTTCAGCCCGTGGACCAATTTGAATTCACGGTTGTCTGTTAATGACTCTGCATGAACCACAGCAATTGTGGGTTGTCACTGCGAGGTTACGGTGGGATTACGGCTCATTGAGTGTCTTTTAATACTCCTCTGCGTTTGCACAAGCATGGGCTCACACACTCTCGCACACAACTGTGCATTCATGCCAAGTAGTCTTGCCACAGATAGGGCGGTGCTACGATACACCGTGCAACATTAGCGCCGCGGTGATCGGTATGGACAGCTTTACAAAATATTGCCACATTGAGATTATTGTTGCGCGTTGAATTGCAAAAAAAAATTGATATTTTTATTTCCAGACAAAATATGTATTATATAATACAATCAATGCTTAACATTTTAAATGCATAGCTATTATCCATCACATTAGTGATTGTCTTTTTCAAGTGAATGATGCATGACGATTATATGACACCATCATTTTCATAATTCATGTTGTTATTTGATTCTTGCAACCAACAGAGTGTGCGTTATAAGCATCACACGATACCGTAATGATTAGAACGATTATTGGCAGACCTATGATGAGTCATCTGCAGATGAAGATCGTTTAAGTGATCTTTATTTGCATTTGGCAGTTCAGCAAATCACGTAAAACATTGCAATACAATTGCAGAATTTCATCACACAGTTATGAGAAACTGAAATCGAGATCACCGTCATATCGTGAAATTATAGATCGTATCTTATTGAGAAAAAAAACATGCCAACCCTAGTAAACCTCTCTTGTACTTCCAGAAACCCAGTTTGGAGACCTCAGATCCCAGATTTCTATATCAATACTGTACTTCTGAATGTATGTTGGACTTCTTTCGCACCCCACATAGCCAACCATGCTAATTAGAGGTGCAGATGGAGCGTTGGGAGTTTACGTATTGTTGCCGGGGGAGGGGAATGAGCATGGGATATTTTAAGGGGGAATTTGTTTTCATATTAATATGATGCTCGCTCTGAGTAGAGACTTCCAATGTGACAGCTAAGCTAACTTGCACATCCTTTTATTGTAAAAAAATCCCAGAAGGCGGCCAGATAAGTTTCACGGATGAGCGAGAGAGAGAGAGAGAGACGCCTGCTTTGCATATTGAATTGAAGGTGCTAAATAACTCGCCTTTTGAAAAGAAAGGGGTGAATTGAGCGATCCGTCACCTTTTTCGGAATGAGTTAACCTACTCAGCCATCAGGTTTAAAATTGCAACTGACAGAAATTTATCTTTAACGAGGTTGT